CTCCGCGCCCACCCGCCCGGTGTTGCGCTCTGCCCTGCCACCAGGCACACCCCCACCGGGGCACTGCAGGAGAAGGCAAGGCCCCCCCCCCGTCCCCTCGCTCTCCTTCGGCTGCTGCTGGGCTTCCAAGTGATCCTTCCGGGGCAGAAGGCAATTCTGCTTCTCTCGGGGATTCAGCCGTTAACGCCTGGATTTCCCTACAGGGCAGGCCACAGGGCTTAGGGGCAGGGATGGAGGATCTGGGCCACCCAAAGGGCTGCAGCGAGCAGGGGCCTTGTGAATGGGGGGGGCCTCCTCCAGGGATCAACTCGAGCGGAACAAAGGGAGGGCCTTGCCAGCAGGTTCCTGGGCCCACCCGCTGCAGCCCAGCCCTCCTCCCCGGCCAGCCGCTGCCCCACCTCCGGTTGCAAGGGCTCTACTCTCCAGCTCCCCGCAGCTGCCTTTTCCTGCACCAGCCAGAATATCCAGCAAGAGGTTAGGCACCCCTGCCTGGCGCGCCCCATGTGCTCGGCTCTCGTTGCTCTGGGGAGATGGGCATCACTGCTGCCCCTCCTCTGGAAGCAGTCTGGGAGGTGGCTCTGCCGCTTGCAGAGGCAGCCACATGTCCCTTTGCTTGAGTCGTTCCGAGGGGGTCTCTGTGCTGTGGCCCTGCAGTCTCTGTGGCACAGCCAGCCGTCCTCGGAGCGACGGACGGAAGGGACTGAAGCCTGAGAGCATTGCGCCACCCAGTGACGCCGCGGCCCGTGCCTTCTGCCTCTCTGCCCCCCGCTTGTTCTCTCAGTTCCCACCAGTCGTGGGGAGACAGGCCCTCTGGATGATGTGCCTCACAGCCAGGGAAGCCTCTGACAGTAAATGCCAGGCAAGGTTGGCATAGGGACTTGTGTTCAAGAAGGGGATCCCTTGCATAGGATGGCAGGATGCCGACGGGAGCCCTGCTCTGCTCTCTCTTCCTCATGCAGTGAAAACAAAATAAAGGCTTTTATAAAACTTACAAATGGGGATTGTTGTGATGGCCTGTCTTCTCGTTTTCCAGTCTCAATCTCTGGGGCACGGGGTGGGGGGCAATTCTAGAACTACCGGAAGCCACCAAGCCTGGTGGCCTCTCTACCCCCTCCCACCCCGTGGGCAGCGGGGCAGGGGGGAGGCAGAAATGTCTTTTGCTCTGCTCCGTGGTGCCACGGAGGAGGCGGCGCACACCAGCAGCGAAGTCCCACTAAGCCCCCTCGCCCAGCGCAGTGCAGCAAACCCCGAGGCCGTGGTGGTGGAAGGTCAGGGCCCAACGCTGCGGCGGGCAACCGCGAGGAGGGATCCTCCCACAGGGATAATCGGAAGACGAAACATCGAAGTGCCTTCCCACAAACCTATGGCGCACCTGCGCTTTGAAGCTTAGGAGCTGCCCTGAAAGGGGGAGCCCCAGTGACCGGGGGAAAGGCCCG